CTCTTAATCGTCCAGATGTTTCTTTTCCTAAAGTCATCATTACCAACTTGGGAAATAAGAAGAGGATAGTAATCCGTGGGCCTGACTATAGACGGGAGGTTTTTTATCACATCCCTAATTGTTGCCCCAGGAAGGGAGCAGACCTCCCTCTTCTTCCCTCCTGCCCTGTCTCTCCAACCCAACCTGACAGCCAGGCTGGGGCCAGGATCCATCTCCAGGTGCTGGAGCAAGCCCTGGAGAAGGCATCCAACAGCAGCCTGTCCATCACAGCTAGGCTATCCTGAGATCTCTTTGCCCTCCGTGACTTCATGCCTCCTCAGCGCTGGAGCTTATAGTACAAACATCTTCAGGATGATACCATGGTCCAGCCTTGCCACTCCATCCCAGCCCTTGTCCTCTTGCTTTTTTCTCAGGATCCCAAAAGCTCTTTAGGTGGGCCCAGAGATGGGAGATGGTAGTTGACAGAGCCGGTTGTGCCTCTGTGAGACTGAAATTGTACCAAAGCAGCAGTCCTAAGCCCAACTCCCAGAGCTGTGAAGCAGTGTTCTGAACACCAGCATGTGCATATTTGCTGTAAAGCCATGCCACAGCACAGTGAGACACTCAGGGTCATCTTCAAACCCTCTTGAGTCCTTGCTCTGTGTACAGCAAGGACGTGCCCTCAACTTCAGTAATCTTACACCAATCGCTGCCAAGTGAGTTCTGCCCCTCTACTCAGCTCTCGTGAGACCCCACCTGAAATACTGCATTCAGCTCTGGAGTCCCCAGCATAAGAAGGACATGGAGCTGTTGGAGGGCCACAAAGATGATCTGAGGGCTGGAGCACCTCTTCTCTGAAGACAGGCTGAGAGAGTTGGCGTTGTTCAACCTGGAGAAGAGAAGGGTCCGGGGACACCTTCTAGCAGCCTTCCAGTAGCTAAAGGGACTACAAGAAGGCTGGAGAGGGACTTTTTACGAGGGTATGTAGTGATAGAACAAGGGACAATGGTCTTAAACTGAAAGAGGGTAGAGTTTGACTAGATCTAAGTAAGGAATTTTTTACAATGAGGGTGGTGAAACACTGGAAGAGATTTCCCAGAGGAGCTGTGGATGCGCCATCCCTGGAGATGTTCAAGGCCAAGTTGGATGAGGCTTTGAGCAACCGCACCTAGTGAAAGGTGTCCCTGCCTGTGGCAGAGGGGTTGTAACTAGATGATCTTCAAGGTCCTTTCCAACCCAAACCATTCTATGATTCTATGATCAGCTTGTTATCCTCAGTGTTTTCTTCACTTACACTTAAGGGGAAAGCAAAGCCAAACAAGGTTTGGGCCTCTTACATTGAAAATTTTGCAAGCATTTGAAAAACATCACATTTTCTTAGGTCTTCTGCTATGCTGTACCTGGAGAAGAGAGTGGGCTGTAGGGTAGAGCTGTAGGGGATCCGCAAGGCACAGAAACAGTAGAGAAAACTGAAGGGGAACTCGGAATTTAGCGCCAGTTAAGGTTTGCCAAATCTCCTTTCACAAGTCAAGGGTCCCACCCAGAGCTTTCAGTCTGTTTGGTCTCTCTTCATGAACATGAGATGAATTTACTTCCCAGCTTTGTTTTAAAAAACTGAGCAAGTTGCAGCTGATTGCATCAGCCTCTGCCTGGGTTCTTGGGCACTGATGGAGCCAAGGGTGTGTTTTTCTCCTTTACGCATTTTTAAGGCACCTAACATTTTGGTGTCTAAGTAAAGCTCTATCCTACCCTAGGCACCAGGCTCTTTGCCCAAAGGGATGTGGCATCAAGTCCTTTCAGCTCACTGGGTGGTCGAAGGTTGCCAAGCATGGTCATAAAAAGAGGCAGTATATTGCACTCTTGAGTTTGGAAATAAAAAACAGCCACAGCTTGCTATAAATAGCTCATTTTAAGTGTAATGAAACTTATTCCATGTTAACATTGGCAAAGTCATTTTGTGTTTAATTGTCCATAAAACTTCCAGTGTTTAAACAGCGCTTACCAACAGACTCCAAGTTAAATGTCTCCCTGTTCTGTCCCAACAAGGGTTAATCAGAAGTGAACCCTTCCAGATGGCAACCATCGCTGTTTTTTTTCACATTTGGAAGTGTTTTTTGGGGATCTGAGAGAGACATGAATGTTCCTTCATCGGGAACACACCCATCAGCTCCAGGAATGCTTTTTCCTTCAAAACTTTCTTTTTAGCATGCTTGGGGGAGGATATTTTCAGAGAAATAGGGCTGTCGCCTTCATCAATTTATTTCTTCAAATCCCAGAGCAGAACTCAAAGTGCCGATAAAGAAACTGAGACTGTTTTAATTCACAGTCCAACAGGAAATGTTTCTCAAAAGTCACGTCCTCTTCACAAAAAATCCCACTCAGTCCCGCAGAGGCTCTTTCGCAGGCACCACATGGGCAGGACGCAGAGAGGGAGGACGTTCACGCTGGGAAGGGCCATGAGCATGCACAAGGCTGCGATCAGGGTTTTTTCACATCCTTCTCTTGCAGAGCTGTGGTTGCGATTACAACACCCTGCACATGTTTTTTTCTCTGCACGGAAATTAATCTCCGGGGCTGCTGTTAACGACTCCGTCTTTTGCATTTGTCTCAAATCAAACAGCATGTTAGTGAACTTTCCGTAAGCAGGAGTATTTCACACAAGTTGGGCGGTTGGGGACGAGAGTGCTGACATGCAAAATGCACGTAAAGAGAAATGTACATTAAGCAAGTGCAGTCGTAGACAAGAGCTGCTGTGATACGGGAAAGTTCAGCTGCTGTGTTGCCCCATGCATATTTCTGTTGCTAAATCATACGTTGAATTTCCCACATGGATTGTGATATTCTACAAACTGACAATTTTTTTTTGTGCGGCAGCGAGGAATCATGTAGGGTACGGAGATAAGACAGAAGAGCCAGCTGGCTCTTCTAATTTATTTCTTTTACAATAGACAAGGTCTGCAGAGAGAAGTAATATCTTTTACTTGACCAACAGAAATATCTATAAAAATGGACAGGCTTGTCTATCTATTTTCTCTGTCTATGTCTATTCGTTTAATTAAAAGACATGTCTCTTACATGTGCTTAAGTAAAGATGATTACATGATGATTGCAACAGCATAAATTGAAGTCTGTTTTTACTGCTGGTCACAGAGGTTTAAAAACGCTGCACCACATTCCTTACCAGAAAGCAATATAGTCTTCATTTCACAAGTGGAGTAATTTATTGGGCCTCTCACAATTAAATAGAAAAGCTACTACTGATGTGGGAAATAAACGTGTCCCCTGAAACTCATCCCAGCACCTTTACTTACTGCAGTCCCCTTTTAGCAGCTTCTTGGTATTAAAATGCAAGTTGGACGTATGTGAACTTTTCATCAAGTGATTCAAATCACTCCATGAAAGTATCCTTCCTTCTCTCATAAATTACCTCAGCAATACAACTATCAGCTTTACTAACAATGTTTTCATGTTCGTACCTGATTTATTGTTTTTTAAAAAGGTTGATTACCATTGTAATGTGATTGTGACTGGTTGGCCTTATACATAATGGCCCAACTTACTGATATTTCCTCCCTAATGACCATACTTGCAAAAGATTATTTTGAATTGGTCTGTTGTGCAGCCTGATGGTTCCACATTTTCACATTTTTATGAGGAAGTTTGTTGCTTTAAGTCAAATATTTGGAGAAGTCCATATTAACAGAATTGTTTTTATTATCATTTGTCCAGGAATGATGTCAAGCTAACTTCAGTTTATCTTTCCCTTGATCATCATTTCTACCTTTTAAATATAGGAATTGTATTAGCAGACATTCTGTATGGTGGAGTTTCCCGATTTTCAAAACATTGTTAAAAATTAACCTTACTGGTTAAGAGAATTTCTCAGCTAGTCCCTCTAAGGTTTCAACTTTAAATTACCTGGACTCACTAGATTGAAAATGCTTATTATTGGACACATAATATTCCTTGCCACTGAAGATAATCTGTCTTTTCCATCTGCTACATCATTTGGGATAGGTACTTCCTTCTGCTTCTTTCCTCCTTCATTCGTGATTGACTGTTGTCTTGAACACATCTGCCTTTTTCACACCTCTGTTCATGAGTTTACTGTTTTCTTTTCCTGATATTTGATATGACTGTTAGACACTCATAGTTCTATAATTCCTTATCATTTACATTAATTTGTATTAACTTCCCTTCTTCCTCTTCTTTTTGTATACTTTTCCACATAATTGTATTGCTATATTCTTGTTTTAATACAAAATTCTTTATGACCTATGTAATGTTCTGAGTCTATTAAATGATGTTCCTGAGCAAGTCCCAGTTTTCACTAAGGTGTCTCACTTTGAAATTCTCTTCCTAATTGCTTCCCCAATTGCATTAGGCTTCAGGAAACAGCCTTCTCTTAAGTCCAAGGATACACATCACTGATTAGTGTTGCTTTCTGTTTGCTCAAACGACGTGTAATCAGATCATGATGGCAGGTACCAAGGCAGTTGTTACTTCTGAGTCGGTGATTAACTCTACTTTAACTCTCAGAATGAAGCCCAGTGCTGAATCCCAACCTACACAGCACCGGGTTTTCTGTGTTACAAATTATCTTCAGGAGTTTTTCACAAATGGTGAGGAAAATTATGATACATCCAGCAAATGTCCAGGCAAAGTCTTCCAGGCAGTTTCTATCCCCAAGTGTGCAACCAGATATTTGAGGACTCACAGCTCAACTCATCTCTAAAGAGATTTGATCTTCTGCAGCCCATGAACACTCTGGTTTAGGGGTCTGCCTGGGACTTAAATCTCCAGCTGTTTGAGGTCTTGTGATTCCAAATTGACAGCCTCTGCACCATGTAATTATGTCCTTGAGATGTAAGGGTCTTAACTTTGCTGGTTTTCCTCCTTCACCCCTTTTCTTGTGATCAAGGCTGTCCAACCCAATCTCATTAGGGTCTTCTGATTAACCTGTACATAATAAATTCCTTGTTTCTAAAATGCAATATTTTGTTTGGGTTTTTTTTTTACAGATCTTTGCATTTTTAGCACTGATGTGTCTTATTCTAGCCATTGGCAATGGCATCTGGGAGTATGATAAAGGCTACTACTTCCAGGTCTATCTGCCCTGGGCAGAAGGCGTCAGCTCTGCCTCCTACTCTGGATTCCTCATGTTCTGGTCATACGTGATCATTCTAAACACAGTGGTGCCAATTTCGCTCTACGTCAGGTATGTTCCAGAACCTTCTTTCACATTTCATCTTGGAAGAGGTTTAGCTTTTGCCTTAGCTGGGGGCAACGTTTTCCTTATAAAGAAGGGCAACCCCATTGTGGATGATTGCACACAGCTATAGTGATGCTTTTCCTCTTTCTGCTGCCTTTGGAGGTCTTAGTCATAGTTGGAGCTGGGACAGCAGGCATTTCTGGAAGAGGAAAAGATGATTTTGCAGTTAAAGGGGAGGTCTAAGTGTAGGATGTTATAGGAGTAAGACTGGAAGCCTGTTATGTCTTGCTCTCTCTCACTTGCACTGCCCATCAAACAAAGTGAATGGCATGTTCTTTGAGGTGGTTGTAGGGCTCATGGGAGGTGTGAATTGCCAGGTGAGTAGGTGTAATCAGGTCGAAGATCCATAGGACTTGGTGCTGTATGAGCAGGGCGAATGTTGCCACTTCTCAGAGTGCTATGTTGGTTACTGAAGACAGGCAAGCAGGGGTAAAGAAGAGGCAAGGCATCCATGATGCTCTCAAAACCTTGGGGCTGGGGTGTAGACTGAGTAGGCTTGTATAGTTTATCATTGCACCTAACTCTTCAGGCAGCTTTGCTACTGAGACTCTTTTGTGTTGGTAAATACGAGGAATTAATCCCATTCTTGTCCAGTATGTCACCCCAGCAGCAAAGTGGAAATTCATGTCGTCTGAGAGCCGATACAGCTCCGTGGTTGTATTGAGTTACATAATGACTCACTTCTTGTGGAGCTCTGGGTTGTTTGCATTGTGGCTGTGATCATCCACCTGCACCCGGCTCAGCCCAGCCCAGAGCCCTGCTGGAAACCTTCCCCATCTGAGCACCACTCCCGAAACTGCACCAAGGGAAACTCGCTACTCCTGCCTCACTTTTCAGTCTGAAAACTTCTGAAAATTTTCAAACACATTTATAAGACATTGTTTTATAAATAAAGGAAAGGAATTGTCTATAAAACTAACATCATTTCAATTAGACTTGCTTCAGCATGGCTTACTACAGGCAATTTGAGAACAACTAGATAAATACACTATGTCATTACCTTCGAAGTTGTCTTCTAATTGCAATGGGTAATGGTGGTGCTGAAGATAAAGATCTTATCCCTTAAACTAACGAATATTCCATCACCTTCTCTTTATCCAGTGTAGAGATTATTCGCTTGGGTAACAGTTTCTATATCGACTGGGACCGTAAAATGTATTATCCGCTGAATGACACACCAGCTCAGGCTCGCACCACTACGCTCAATGAAGAGCTGGGGCAGATTAAGTACATTTTCTCAGACAAAACAGGAACTCTCACTCAGAACATCATGTCTTTCAACAAGTGCTCTATCAATGGCAAATCTTACGGTATGTTACCTGTTTGTCTTATTCTCTGAGTTTTATTCTATTACATGCCTCTTGGTCCACAGAGACTAAATGTGACATCCAGAAGACAGTGTCTTGTAAGAAGCTGCAGAGACCAAGTGCAGGGCTACTCATCAGGGATGCCTGGACAGTCCTGATTACACCACTTGCATATCTTAATATAATTTTCCTGTCCCTTGTTTCCCCTTTTTGCCAACCTTTTACTTCCCTTTTTCTGCCCCAGTATTGTCCTAACTAAAGAATCTGCACGTTATTACTTTTTCCTCATTGGTCTCACTTTCACTACAACTGTACTCAAATTCATTTTTTTCTGATAGCACTGCCTAGATAGTCTCAGCCTTTTATGGTATTATTGACATGGTTACCTAGATATCGCTAACCCTGCAAAACATAACACACAACTCACATAACCAATTCTCTCTTAACCACTTGTGAAATCATCCATCCCTCAGGGTGTTATCTGCAAATTTTGTCAGCCTCTCACACTGTTATCTCTCACATTCAGCAATTGCTCATGTCAGGAACGGAATTTTTCCACATCCTGTTCAGGTAGCTGAACCTTCAGTTGGCACCTAGTCAATGGCCTGGTCATCTGCCTTTATCCTGGACATGCTTCACCTATCAGAAGAGAGACAAATTTGTAGGGAGTTGGGAAAAATGGGAAACAAAAGTTGTTAGTTTTGTTAGATCCTAACAGTCATTGACCTAAAAGACTCATTCATTGTATGGCCCAGGGCAGTTTTCTTCATACTCTCCAGAGGTGCTAACAATTCACCAACTGACTAATCAATTAACATGATCAGATTCCCCCAGAGAAATTAGTTACTTCTTACTCCTAGGTTGATGCTTGTTTTGCCTTTCAGACCTACTGATGGACTGGTGTGCCAGAAAGCTTGTCCTTTTTCTCAGTGCTATCAGCTGGCCTAATAAAAGAAGTTATTTTTTTCCTGTAAATCTTATTTTGTTTATAATTGGAGACCACCATATCTCAAACAGTGCTAGTATGCCAGCCAATGTTAGTGCTGCTAAACAGTTTGAAAAATATTCAGTCTGTTCTTTCTTGTATGCTATACAAGATAGCATAGTATAGATAGCATACAAGATAGCTGACTTTTCCAAAGTTGATGTCACCACTAAACATAGCCATAGGATGTGGGTTCGAGCAATTAATGGGAAATATGTGGAAAGAAGGCAGACAGAGTATTGCCTATAGTTTTCTAGATGCTTAGCTTCTTCCCTGGAACATACTTTTTTGGATCTGCTGCTCAGGGACATTTGGGAAAGCCATGCTAGAAAGGATAGATTATGCTGCCAGAGAGGGTACTCTGGAGGCTGCTTCCCTTTGGGAAGGAGGTGTCTAAAAACCTCTCAGTTAGAGTTCCCAAGGGATCAACTGGTGTACATTTCTCAGGAGACATGGCTTCTGAGTTTTTTCTACACCCTCAGGGCTTTTACGAGGCAATACCAGTACCTACAACTGACTGTGGTCACAATTGAGGTTGCTGGTGCAGGTATGGATCTATCATTCATGTAATTCACTGTATTTCAATTTTATTGCAATGAAATGTTGAATCTGGCTGGGCTGGGCACAGTTCAAATGTTCCAAGTGAAATTTTCTTCAGGTAGGAGAAGTTTTGATAGTGCTTCCTGGATATGAGATGTCTTCCGTGTCAGTGACCAGATCATCAGTTCAGGGAAAATGAATGGAGCAGCCTTGCTACCTAGACGTGGGAAGAACGGGCTTTGACAACTCCTTCTCTGTGGTTGTCCAGGGACTGCTGCAAATCCAATATGATTCATGAGCTGGATTTTGTCTCACATTCCAAAGGGAAGGTACAAGAGAAGTCACTCCTTGAAAGCACCTTCGTTTCTTACCTAGCACTACGTCCTTTCTGGGTTCAGCTTGAATCAAGTCTTCTTTGCCCAAATGCGAGTCATTTTTATGGTAATTGCTTTGTGTTTCAAGCATCTGTCCGTCTCTGGATTTTGTCATGGATTAACATAGAAACTGATCGATATTAATTATCAGTCTCTAGTACTCATATCCAGATATTTATACTTACTGAAACTTTTTAACCAGATACCAGCTTCAAAATACTTCAACAAATTTTTGTGGTAGAGAAGCTCAGAGACTGCATTTACCTGGAGTTTGTGGCTATAACCTCAGTCTTTCTTGCTTGCAGGTGATGTGTATGATAAGTCTGGGCAAAGAATAGAAATAAATGAGGTAAGTGCTCAAGTGCTAGCAGGATCTGTGCTTTTGGTGAACCTGTCTACATAGTAGCTCATGGACATAACCCACCCAGGCATAGCTCATCCTTTTGACCCTGCAGAAGATGATGCTCTTGACCCTGGCGGTAGGGATGTGTGTTCTCACAGATGTCAGAGGATTCATAGAGTTGCATTCCCTTCCAGTAAGCCTGGTTTAAACCTGCAGGTCAGGTAGCCTGAGTGCCCACTGTCCCCTGAGTTTGACATGGCATCCTAGTGCATGCACAGCTACTCTTGAATACTTGGCCATTGATGCTTGTTGGAAACTTGGACATCAGTGAATTTAATCATCCTTGGCAGTTTGCTAAAACTTTGGTGGGGAATCAGTGAGTTCAGTTCATATTTATAACAAGGTCACTGTCAAATTCCCCTAATGTCTGGACATTGGAGATTGTGAAAATGGGTGACTTCTCCATTTCTCTATTGCCTCTGCTTGCTGGCACAAACCCACATGTTTCGGATTTCTAAAATGTGTGAAAACTGCATGCAGTAATTCAAGTAACAAACGGCAAGATGATGATGAAAATCCCACTCCTCGTTCCAATGATTCATTTCCAGGCCATTTAAACTTAAATTACCCACTGAAATCAGCTATTTGTTCCAAGTGCTGTGCCTCCAGACTGCCCTCACTCAGGCAGCAAAATGCAAAGGGCTGACTTGCTTGGGGACACATACTGGTCTCCTGCCAACTGGCTGCCCGGCAGCTCCTCCTGCCCACGATACTCGCCGGAGCAGAGTCCTGCAGGTCAAAAGGCGGCTGCCCACGCATCCACGGAGCTGCAGTGCCTGGACCTTGCTGCACAGATGAGTGTGTGTGTTTGCGTGGGGTGGGACCGTGCTCTTGCAGCAAGTGCTAAATGTCAGCTTGCAGAGGTCAAGAAGATGACTCCCATCCTGGAAACTCTGAGCTCATCGGGGATGGGGTGGGAGTCGGAATCCTCCCGGGCAGGCTCACCAGTGCATTCCTCCATCACACATCATGCTGTGAGCTTCGGGCCATTTCTCCACTGCGTTCCCCTCTGCTTGAGGGTCCTCGTTTTTAGACAAAATGGGCAGTGCCTGTAGAGTTGAACCTTACATCACTTGTCTGTCATCTTTCTGCATATCAGGATTTTTTCTTGCTTTGGGAGAATAAGGTGGACAACAAAGCTTTTTGAATTGTTTCAAATTGGGCCTCTCCATTCCCCTGTCACAGGCAGCCATTGAAATCAGGACCATGATGCCACCAAGCAGGCATGTGTTGAAGGCAGGCATTTATTTGCTATAGAAATTCTTTGGCTGGGACCCTGTAGGAGCACTTGCTGTCGTACAGAGAGGCATCTTTAGCTAATCAGATTCTCAGCCACCTGAGTGAAAGGCACCTCAAGTGCCTGTCCTCTCCAGTGATTTAGTAGCTTTCACGACCTCCCACTTACTCAGACACATCAGTCTCTGTCATGAACAGCCCTGCAGGAGAGAGCCCTTTGTAAATGTAAGGAAGCCGAGGCGGGGGGCTGTGATGAGAGCATGTGAGAGCTCCACAAATAACACTAAACTATATTTTTGTAGAACACAGAGAAGGTTGATTTCTCATACAACCAGCTAGCTGACCCAAAGTTTGCCTTCTACGACCATAGCTTGGTGGAAGCTGTGAAGCTGGGTGATGTCCCGACGCACAGCTTCTTCCGGCTGCTCTCACTTTGTCACACAGTGATGCCAGAAGAGAAGAAGGAAGGTAAGGACTGTTGAAGGCACCGTTCACCCTGCACCACAGTATGTCTTTTCTCCACAGAAGCTGTTATTGGTCCCTTTGGCACTGTGGTGATTTTCTCTAGTATATAGAATCATAGAATCGTTAGGGCTGGAAGGGACCTTCAAAGGTCATCTAGTCCAACCCCCCTGCAAGGAACAGGGATATGGCTCCACATAAATCAGTGTCTTTGGAGATGCCACATGAGAAGAAAAATGACCAGGCCCTCCACTCCCTTTGTGTTCCCGTGGTGGAGCTGACAATACTGTGAACATCACATCTCTGGAGAGTGGAAATTGCAGGTGCCACAGCTTCCCTGAGGTGGCAGATGTCTTGCCCCACTCTTTCTCTACCCTGTGCCAAGTTCCATAAAGCAAAAAGCGTAGAGCACCTACCCACTGGAGGCTTATTAGCTCTGCTCACCCAGTATTCCTGCAGGTACTGGGTCAGTCTCCTCAAATCCCAGACGGTGCAAACTGTAGTTTAAAGGCTGGAACCATTAATTGACACATAAAAAGTGAAGATACATATGAGAAAAATATATGCAGGTGTAACCAGAAGGGCTTAAACCCAAGGAAGTTGTCCTCTCAGTAAGATCTGTTGGACTCCAAAGAGAGTGATAAAAGACCCCAAAAGAGCCTAGGAGGCTCTTGTATGGGCCTGGAGCATGGATTGGTGGGACTGGATGGAGTTGTGTGGACATAAGGCGCTTTTTAGTGCTGCACCTCTGGGGACAGACAGAAAAGCAAAAGGTTAACTGCTATACAATGTCTTTGATTTTCTGTTTGTTCAGCCTCAGAAACAAGGCAGAAGCCACATTACTTTTTTTTCTTGGATGTCAGGTAACTTGGTGTATCAGGCCCAATCTCCTGACGAGGGAGCTCTCGTTACTGCTGCCAGAAACTTTGGATTTGTGTTTCGCGCTCGCACACCGGAGACCATCACCATCGTGGAAATGGGGGAAACAAAAATCTACAAACTCCTGGCTATTCTTGATTTCAACAATGTTCGCAAGAGAATGTCTGTTATTGGTATGTTCCATTTGCTCCCTTCTTTCCTTCCTGACTTTGTAGGCTCTCAAGTTGGTCCTCATTCTGCTGTGATGCCTTTTCCTAGGAGACCACCTTCGCAACATTTTCTGAATAGCATTTACTTCTGAGCACTTGAGATGGGCTGCCTTGACTTTTCTATTACACAGCAACAGTGCTAAATAAATACTTAACTTAGGCAGGTGGGAGAACATCTTACCATCTGGACCACAACGACAGAGCAGCCTCCTGAACACACTAAGCGTGTTGCATATTGTACCTCTGTCATGACAATGCAGGAAAGTTCTTCCTTCTAATAAGCTTCAAAATTATAAGCAAAATCTGAGGAAGTGGGAAAGGAGAAAGCAAGGAAAAACAGAGAAGTCCACTTTCCCAAAAGGAAAATGAAGTAATGACTCAGGAAACTTTGTGTAGCCTTTATTAACCCTCTAACATTCTCAGATACTTTGAGGACTGGAATTTCACAACTGTGGCAAGAGTGCGGTAATATCTTTACTGGTAGGAGCAGTTGGAGCAGCAAGACCTGTTGTTCGCTGAGAACAAATTGTTCTTGACTTTTGAGTGCAGATGTCCTGCCTGAAGTGCTGGTTGTAGGAACCATGTAGTCCAACAGAGCACCTGCTCAGACCAGTGCAATTTGGGTACCATTGCCTGTGCTGCTACTGCTAATGTGGAGAGTAGTTGGATTATCTTCTGTTCTAAGCAAAGCTCTTCTTGATTCCTGGGAGTTTGCCAACACTTGGCAGAGTTCGGACACCTCTAAAAACCTTTCTTTATCTTGATGCAAGTGCTGTAAATCCGAAGTGTCTCAGTCTGGGATTTGTAACATTTCTGTTCCTCTTCCTCATAGTGCGAAGTCCAGAAGGTGACTTGACTTTGTACTGCAAGGGAGCTGACACCATTCTTTATGAACTGCTTAATTCGTCCTGCAACAATCTCAAAGAGGAGACCACAGAACACCTGAATGTAAGTGTTTCCTTCTGCACATCTCTGCATTTGATGGTTTCCTTTTCTCCAGATATGGAAATGTACTTTCTATTGAGACAAAAAACAGATTTCAGAAGCAGCACCCAAGCATTAGTTTTTTTGGGTTTTTGCTTTTTGGATTTTTTTTCATGGAGAATCATAGAATCATAGAATGGTTAGGGTTGGAAGGGACCTCAAAGATCATCTAGTTCCAACCCCCCTGCCATGGGCAGGGACACCCTCCGCTCCACCAGGTTGCCCAAAGCCTCATCCAACCTGGCCTTGAACACTTCCAGGGATGGGGCATCTGCAACTTTTCTGGGCAAACTGCTCCAGTGCCTCACCACCCTCAGAGTGAAAGATTTCTTCCTTATATCTAATCTAAATCTGCCCTCTTTCAGTTTAAATCCATTGCCCCTTGTCCTATCACTACATGCCCTTGTAAAAAGTCCCTCTCCAGCTTTGCTGTAGGCCCCTTTAAGTACTGGAAGGCGGCTATAAGATCACCCCAGAGCCTTCTCTTCTCCAAGAATGGAGCGGGAAATTAGTTTAAAAAGCCTTGGGTTTCAAATCAGTTGCCTAAGCATGGCCATCAGGTGCCATTTAAGCTGCTCTAGGATATCCAGGACATCTGGACATGGCAAACACAATGCAGGATGTTTAGATGACTTGTATTTCTCTGAAGCTGAAGCTGGAAGCCAGGCAGAAGAGGCGAAATGCCTGAAATGGCACTACACATCCGTGTTTGGCAACTAAATTCCATCCAAGCCTGCTGTTACTCTACAATGCATGCACCTGATGTGTTCCAGCATGTCTTGGATCAGAATAACTCAGTTGATCAGCAAAGGGCCACAGAGCTGTTTACCTTCTTGAATACAATCCAGATCTGCAGTGACAGTGATCAGAGAGGTCTCAGTCAGAAGAGGCTGAGCAGGTGCTGAGACCTGCTTACCTACCATTCTTCTGTATTGTGTAGGGGTATATTAACTGGGCAGCAAGGAAAATGCGTCACTCCAACTTATGGCCTTTTATATTGGTGGTGGTATGCCCTGTGCAGTGGTTACTCACACAAGTGGATGTTTTGGCCAATGTTTGCTCCCCCTTGCTATGCCAGATCCTGCTGGTACAGTGCAGAGCGCAAGATAACAGCAGATTTTGCCAGAGGGGTTGTGCAATAGCATAAACATCTCTGCTCGCTGCCTGGGGGAGTCAGAGAGAGTTGCTCATGAAGCAGGGGAGAGCAGAGCTGTGGATGCAGCCTGTTCCTGATGTACCTTTGCTCCAAGCCTGGGGGAACACCTCTATTCACAGAGATCTCTGTTACTCCGCCACATGCTGAGATCCATACTGTCAATCATACATCTGCAGAAAGCACACTTACAAGGACTAGCTGAGGTGTCATGACTGACTGCGCTTTTCCAGCCAGCATTTCTACCCTAAAAATGCTGAGGCCAGGTCCAAAATTCAAGGCTGTGTTCAGTGTTTGTTTAGGTCTCACTGTTCTGATCCTTGTGTTGAGAAATACAAACCTGGGAAACAACTGGCCGGTTAATGTAAAACTTTGGAGCCAGAAAGTAGACCCTTTTCAGGTTTTTCTTTGTGAGGGCCATGGATGGCAATGAGGAAGTGGTCTGGAACTAGTTTTTAAAAACTACCCCAAGGTTTGTGTTCTAAGATGTGATTTTTTCACCTCTCCTCTGCAGACTTTAGGCAAGAATTTTTTACAGATAGCTGTTTGCTTTCCAAGGGTCCTTTGTAAGGCCAGGTGAGGAGACCGTTGTTCTTTGTCTCGCAGGAGTTTGCCGGTGAAGGTTTGAGGACACTCGTGGTGGCCTATAAAAACTTAGATGAAGACTACTTTCAGGACTGGATCAAGCGTCACCACGAAGCAAGCACTTCCTTGGAAGGACGGGAAGATAAATTGTCGGAGTTGTATGAAGAGATTGAAAAAGACCTAATGGTTGGTGTTTCAGGGAATCTGGGCCAAGCTCTGGGGGAGGCGGTGGGGATGGCGGTTTGTCAATAAACAGCTCAGTATGACTTCAGTAAACATTGCTCTGCAAACAGCTCAGTGGGTTGGGTGACGGGAGTGGTTAGGAACATGGCAGCCCTGGGTTTTCACTGGCACCTCTGTCAGAAGCCTGTAACTGGGGTGTCACCCACCAGTGCAGAGGAATAGTTTTATTTTAACTCACGTGGGTGTCAGAGTAGCTTTCTCGTGGTAAAGTGACATACCAGAGCCTGAGGGAGATGACGTGGACGATAAATATTTCATCGCTATCCTTTGTCTGTGCAAACGGATGATCTATTTATTTTCCTGTCTTTGAAATGGCAGGCAGGGATTAATTCCCAGTGCCCCTCCATTTCACAGAGTGTCTTCTTTGTTCTTGCAGCCCTGGAAGGGATAGGGAGATGATGTCCACGAACATGTTTGCGTCAACTTGAAATGGGGCTAAACTGTGATCTTCAAGTCATTCTTTTCTCCATGAGTGTTGTTACAGCTTTTTGAATGCCCTGGGGAGTCTGTCTGTGTTTTAGAGCCATGAATAATGAATGAAAAGGATGTGTGGGATCTGAGGGGAAGCAATTCAGCTCTTGCTCTTGCAGCAGTGCTTTCCTGAGATCTCGGAAATCCTAGGAGCCGCACCATTGCTCCTTCCATTATCTGTACGCTCAGGATGCCAGCAGGGCATGGGATGAAGCAAGCGTGAACCGAGGAGCTGTTGACCTCTGGAAGTTGCACAGTCCATGGAGCAGAGCCTACTGCCTTTCTGGGTCTGGTCTGGGAAAACACTAATCCTCCAGTCCAGAGAATACATTGTGCAAATGCTGTGTGGGTCATGTCCAAAGCAGGAAAGACAAGGAGGTTTAGGAGTTTAAGGAGCAGATTACTCGGCAAGAAAGGTTTATGAAGGTCATGGCCTGAGTAGAGAAGAGGTCACAGACTCACAGCAGGAAAAACTGTGGCTCAGAAGAAAATGCTTTTTACAGCAGACCCATCTGTGTGCTCCTTGGACTTCACTTCCCAGAGGTGCTGCAGGGAGAGGCAGAGGATGGGTGTAGGAAAGCCTGGCTTGTGACAGAGAATGTAAGAGCCAGAGTCAGCAAGGAAATAGAAGGACCTACATAGGGATATAGAGGACTGACAAGTATCATGGGTTGATGGGCAAGAGCACAAGTCCCTCTGTGCGGCAGACTCCTGATAAGAGTCCTTAGGGGGAGTAAGGAGAACAAGGGGGAATAGGGATGGAACACAGTTATATTCAGAGAATAGTTGTAAAAATACTATTTATCGTTGATTGACCTAAAAACTAAGGAAGATTCACAGTCAGGAAGTCCAATCACGACTGTCCCTTCAGCTGCCCTTACCAGGTCCTGGGCAGACAGGGAAAGGCCTGTCAACCGTACTGTTATGCCTTTCTGCAGCTCCGGAAAGACAACGGCTGTGGGGAATGCATACCCTTGTTCTCCGTTCCTGGGCCTATTTGACATCAGTGTCAATCTTTGGGCTTCCAGCTCAGACTCAGGTTGCCAAGGATGCCCAGGAGGTGGCTTTGTATGCTACAAGAATTTAAGCTCTTGCTAGCTGGACCAGGGACTACTGCTGTAAAATGTGGATGCTGCAGTTTTGAGGACCCTATAGAGAAGTTCCCTCAGAGCTGTTATCTGCGTCGATAACACTCATAGCTGATGAATGATGAACATCCCAGGAAGCCAGAAGGGATCTTGGGCTTATAGCCAACCCCGAATTTAGTCTCTCAACAGCAGGAGGTAGGTGGTGGTAGCAGATGCTGTCTAAACCTGAGCTAGCAGCAAAACCTTCATGTCTCTTTGACAATAGTTTAAGGCCATCAAGTATCTCCAAAATTCAGAAGCAGTAACTTTAAAATAACGAAGGGTTGGGACCTGAGCAATCTGTGGTTTAGTTGTGTGACAATGTAGAGCAGGGGTGGGGACAGGTCTGTTGTGGGCTTGAGAAGATGCTTAGCAACCGTATGACTGCTGCAGTACAGTATGGCTGGGACAAAGCTCCACACTAAAGGATGTATATGGATATTTGGATCCACAGCTGTCTTTGTACCTCAGTGACAGCTCTATCTGCTGTGAAATGAACATGTGGAAGAATACAGACCTGTACGTCTGCAAACATGTTGGCCAATAATTTCATGCGTGTTCATGATCCATCTGAGCCTGAGGCATTAGAGACTAGAACATTTGCAGGATCAGAGCTCTACTCTGCACACTAAATTTGATGAGTAAGAATGAAAATCAGTACTTATCCTTATTCCTGGATTTTGTTTGTGTTTGCTTGAGTAATCACCTGGAGGTCTAATGCTTTCTTCTTTGCTAGTAATGGGAAGTCTTAACCAGTTCCCTGCTGTTTTCTGTTAAGCTGCTAGGTGCCACAGCGATTGAGGACAAGTTGCAAGATGGAGTCCCACAGACTATTGAGACTCTTGCCAAAGCCAACATTAAGATATGGGTTCTTACTGGAGACAAACAAGGTAAAGGGGCTACAGCTTTGGATGCTTCTCGTCACCACCGGTGCAATGGTTCTGTTAAGACCCACGTTCTCATTCTTTCTCCTTTGAAAACTGCACGGAGGACAAACTTAGAGGTCTTTGCTTCATTGCCAGCTAGGCAAAACTCCAGTTATCTGGAATTAAACCAGATAACTGTAGCTAGTGCCTGTTCTTAATTCCTGTCCTGAGGCTGGAAACAGTGTGAAGGCAGCATCCTTTGCCTTCGGAGAGGTGACAATGGGCATCCTGTAGTCACTGTCATATGCTGTGAAAAGTCAGTTTAGTACAGCTAACCATCCTGGTGAAGAAGATGGAAAAGATCTTGTCCTACTTTCCAGGATCTTTAATGCTAAAGTGGATGTTGGGTTGGTTTCAATTTGGTCCTGACATTAATGTTCCAGAATAGAAACGGAGGAAAAACATTAAATTGGAAAGAAATGTGAACAGACTCCAATAAATTCTTTAGGAGAAATAGCAACTTCACTGAAACAATGATGTTTCAGGGAGGCCGAAAGTATTTGCAAATAATTTCATCCCAGAAATGAGCAGAGAATTTTTGAGAAAAATGAAACGTTTCATTTAGTCAAGTTCTGAATTGTAATAGTTTTGCTTATGAAATATAAAAATACTTTTTTCTCATAGTTTTCTGAACAAAATGTCTTGATATTCTTCTTCAGAACTATGGTTTGGATTTTCTGTGGGTAGAGGGAGGGAAAGTTAAATATTCTGAAAAAACTTTTTGGAATCAACATGAAATGTTTTTTGTTACTCCAAATATGTTGGCCAAAGAGTGTTTTGAGCTTTTTTGTTTAGGTAGAATTATATTTTTCTGTGGCTTTGTAAAGCCCAGTTAGGAGAGATTTGCTGCTACATCCCTCAAGGTGACCCTCCCAGCTCTTTTAAGGTGCAGAGCTCTTTTGAGTGAGAAGGAGAGCTTTCGCTTTCGTCTTGTGTGTAACAGGCCACAGAGACTATGGGTGAGTTTGGGTCTACTAAGATCAGTCATCTTCCTGGTTTATCTTTCCCAGAGACGGCAATGAATATTGGTTATTCCTGCAACTTGTTGAATGATGACATGGCAGACGTCTTCATTATTGAAGGCAGCACATCTGATGATGTACTTAATGAGCTCAGGTAAATGGCTGAAATGCACAGCTTTATTGCAGTGCACTGACACTGTTTGTATCTTTTTTTTTCCTGTGGACTTTACTCGGTGCAGTTCATTCAGGGGCGTTAGATAAGGGCTGGCTGGCTCTCTGGAAGATCCAGCAGCTAAACACAATGTAGAAATCTTCTCTGAGGATAAATTTTGAAGCTTCTTGATCCAAGAGGTCAAATGTATGTAAATGTATAAGATAGTAGAGTCAGCAGGCAATATCAGCTAACATCGAACAAGCATTTTGGAGCCACTAAGCCTTTCGCTCCAGGCTTGAGCTAAGCTGCTGCTGCACTGCTATTGTCATTCATCCAGTTATGGTCCTTTGGATATGGTCCTCTTCTAGCATTATCTGGAAATCTGCCTTCCTCCATAGCCTCCCCAGTAGACACAAGTTCCTTGTATATGTGGAAAATGAGAAAACTTTTCAGTTCTTCTCTATTGAGGGAGGTGTTTGACACAATATGCACAAAAAATTGGGATGGCCTTTGGATTACTGTCCTTTATGGCATTCAGATGATTTGTTTGACTTTAAGTCAGCACAGTTCTAGCACACACTTCTTCGAGTTTCAGAAGCATGTTGGTGGTCTGCACAAACAGCAGCAACTAAACCATGGTGTGTTGTAGTAGGGATACAGGGAAAATTGAACTAAATTATCAAAGGGAAGCATCATTTTTTTTATTTTTATAAAGTTGATTCAATAAAACATTTGTATCTTTACAAGCTTTTCATTATTATTCCTGATATTTTTTTTTTTAGGAATGCACGGAAAAAGATGAAGCCAGACTCCTTTCTAGACAGTGATGAAATCAACATTCAGTTTGAAAAATCTTCAAAAAAGCCAAAAGTTTTACCAGATGAGCAAGCAAATGGGGTGTACGGTCTGGTTATCACTGGCCACAGCCTGGTAAGGAAGGTTCAGAGTCATGCTACGGCTGAGTTCTCTGAAGAAATTCATGTGATATTCATGTGATAGGTACATACTGAAGTCTGAAAACGTGCTAAAAATTTATCTCTAAAGGACAGGATTTTTTTTTTTTTTGTAATTGAAGATTAGGTTCAGTGGTTATCTGAGACATCCAAGGTGATGGGCAAAGTTTCAGAAGACTGAAATAGGGAAGAGAATTGGCCCTGATGTTAGGTGAACAGAAGGGGTAGAGTAGCTAGAGCAATTTTCATTTCCAGAAAGACTAGAAAAATAATCAGGCAGTTTATGGATGCAGCAAGAAGATAACTTCAGACACGGGTTTCAAGTATGCCAAGAACATATTCTAGTAAATATATCTAATAAGAGATTTATTTAACAGATAGAGTATGTATCTAACTAATAAATTGTTTGATGCTCTCTCCCATGATGTTCTTCCAAGCAAACTGAAGTAGTAGAGTCTACATGAAGTAGGGTCTAGATGAAATTATTATGTGACATATGCAAGACTGCTTGGAAAGTCTGGCTCCTAAGGGCTCACTGTTGATCTAAAGAAACAGTTAAGTGGCATCTGCAGAAGACTATCCCCTGTCTATTGATATTCAGTGTTTTCACTAACTGCTTAAAAAGAGAGCAGATTACACCAGGCTGGGAGAAACTACAGGCAGATGGAGTTCAAGATTACATTTGAAAACAATTTTAACAAATTGGAGAAATACTTCAGTATTCAGTAAGAACAAATGCCTTGTTCTCCACTTTCACATAGTTGACTACACACACAAAACCCGAGATGTGTATGTAAGACTAAGACTTGTGAAGAAAGCCTCCTGCTTCATTTGGCATTGGTAAAGTCTTAGCTGAAATAATACTAGTTATTTGGGATGTTTTTTTTGAGAAGATGTAGACCAGCTAGAGGGAGCACAACGAAAACTGTTAGAGTGGTCATGCATATTCTGGAAATCATAGAGGAAAACTGAGAGAGTTAGGATTTCTGAGCCAAGAGAATACTGGTCAATTTTGGCAATACTCTTCAAATAATAACAGGTAAACAAGGTAATGAAATTAAACTGAGACAAGAGAGCTTTGGAGTCTTCCTGGTGAGAATAATGAAGCACTGGAATAGATTTTTCATCTTTGGAAATTTTTTAGAACAAGTTAGATGAAAAAAAAATAGATATAGTTCAACCTGTCGGGAAGGAAGGCTTAGTCTAGATCAGGTTTATACATCTATCGTATTTTGCTTTCCCAGATTGCAGCGAAAACAAATAGGTAGATGTGGAAAGAACTGGGAAGCGCTGCCTTTCAGAGACAAGACACTTCCCATCCCTGTGGTTGCTACCTCTCCTGACAGCAGTCCAGCAAATTTAACTCCCAGCTTTATAGTAGCTGGTAAATCACTATTAAAAAAATCTCATCGTGCTCCATTTTTGGCTTATGTGCCATCTGTATGGAACCTGGACTAGAGGGGACACTTTCGGTCAGTGTCTATATTGTCAAGTACCCTCTCTCCCTCTTCTACGCCCACTGCCTCTTTCTTTAACTCTAGGCCCTTAATCCCCTTTAGATTCCCACTGCAAAACAGACAAGGGCTCTATCAATTTTGGTGCATCTGCATGGGCAAGTCCCCTGACATCCCAGACAGCCACAAGTCCCTATCTGTCCCTGCTCCATCCCTTCAGCCTGCAGGACAGACCCCGAGCACTCTGCTGTAAAAGCACCACCAGCAGCGGTGACAAAGCCTTCTTTTTATTCCTGGAAAATCACAGTCACCCACATCCTGGCAAGGAGATATGTCCCACACAAAGAAATTAAAATCTGGGAGCAGCCAGTTCACACAGCCCACAGCAGAGTGGACACAACCAGTCTTACCAAGACCATGGCTTTCTCCTGGATGTGGACCACAAGGACGGCATGGACAAAACTATATGTGATTTATTTATTTCTGTGAACCTAGAGCTTGAGCAATGGTGACAGTGCTGATACTGTCCCACTCCATCACAGCGTCTGTTCAGTGCCCATCCCCATGTGCAGATGAATGGGATGGCAGCACTGGGGCTATGCACACGTGTGATCTTGCTTCAACACAGAGAACGAACAGAAGCACAGCAGGATCTGTAACGGCATCATCATACGGCTAGCCGATTTGTGTGCAACACCATTAACAGAGCTACTATGTGGTGACATTTTGCTAGTGCTGTACAGCAAGAATGTTGTGGAGAAAGCCATCTCTAACAGCGGTGACCCATCAGTGCTAAAACCAGACCATGAAAAGGTCTCTCTTGTTGAGCAAGCCTGCCTGCCACTGGCGGGAGGGAAGCGGGGGTGCTGGTGACTCACAGCTCTCTGAAGAAGAAAGGATATCTGGCCCAGGGAACTGTCTGCCTGACGCAGAAAGGGCAGTGGGCCTGCTGTAATGGCTCTGAGGAGGAGGAGAGAGCCCTGTTGATTCCTTCTATGAATGTCTACTGAGTAGAGACATCAAAGAACAGAGCCAAAAAGCACATTTTGAAAGAAATACTAAAAGCTAACACTGCTCCCTTCCTCTCACGCGAAGCTGGAGGACTGACCAGACATCCAATTATCTCTGTGCTTCCCGAATAGAAAAAACATGACTGACTGATTTAAAAGGTCAGCACTCAGAGCAAAGTTGCCTTCTCCCTGGCTTTGTGTTTCACTCTGTCATGCCCACCTGAGCTCAGCTTTTTCCATTTGTTTTTTTTTTTTATTAAGTACTCCCAAATTGAAATATCTTCTGCTTATACCACACATCTCCCAGAGCTTAAAAAATAAACCAAGAGGGATGAGCAGAGTCTCTCTTGCATGGAGATAGCAAGGCTGTCTCAGGCCCAACAGCAGCTTTGTCAATTTAGCGCTCCTAATGTCTGACACTTCTCTGCACTGTTGGGTTACATCAGCCAGAGCAGCTGTTGCGCAAATCCAGCTGTGGCGCACCCACGGTGCAAGCTCATAGGTGTATGCTGTGTGGCGTCATGTTGTGCGGTGTGGATGCTCCCCACCACTGAACGGATGGATTCACTTGGGGTATCTCACACTTTCTTTCTGCCAAATCAGTTCTCATCTCTTTCCCACTGCGTCCTCTTTGTCAGACCATGAGTTGCTGCTAATCTGACCTCAACGCCCCTCTTCCCTTCTCCTCAGGCTTATGCGCTGGAAGGGAATATGGAGCTGGAGCTGGTGAGAACTGCCTGCATGTGCAAAGTGGTGATCTGCTGCCGGGTGACTCCACTGCAGAAGGCCCAGGTGGTGGAGCTGGTGAAGAAGTACAAGAAGGCTGTGACCCTGGCAATTGGAGATGGTGCCAATGATGTCAGCATGATTAAAAGTGAGTGATGGCTGACAGCCTGCATGCTCTAACAAATGGGCTTGCTGCCGTATTAGCTATCTGAGGTGGCCTAGCAGCAGCAGCACGTATCTGGGTGCCTTCTGTACCACCCTCTTTATGGCACCGAGTGTCTGTGCCCCAGGTTTCTGCTGGTCTCTACAGAGCGCTGTTGCTATAGGATACTGATGTCTCCAGGACACACAGAAGGGCCTTTTGCTGTGCTCCTACCTCCAGGATCGCATTAAGCTAAGATTGCACTTACTGCCTAATTCTCTGCTTCTACCTTAGAACAACCAAAAGCCCACCGGGGCTATGCAGCGTCCACCTGTGCATCTACATGGCCACCGTCACAAGGGCAGTACAAATGACAAGCAATTTTGTGTCAGGGAGGGCCTGCCTGCAGTGCAGGAAGAACATCTTCATGCCTGTAAATAGTCTGTATAATGCCACATGATTGTTTTTAACTTTTCCATGCAGTAGGGCCATTTACCAATTATCTCCCTTGTGTTAGGGAACATGGGCTTCCAGGCCCCTCCGTCCTCGAGCATCACTTGATGCTGCATTACCTCAGTGAATTTATGAAAAAAATCCCCCAACTAGGTATAATTAAATTAAGATTATTCAGAAGGGCCTATTGCTAATCTTCCTTGTGTTAATTTGCAGGAATTGATTAAGTGGAGCCTTTTAATTAAGAACGAAAAGGCTAAGTAAGGAGCTTCAAGGGAGATAAGTCAGGCAGTCAGTAAAGAAAGGATAAGAAAAACAAGTTAAAGTGTACATGATAATTAGAAACTAACACCCCCCCGCCACGAGAGGTTTGGGACTTTGGGATTTCATCAATTCACTGTTCCGTGGAAACCTCTGAATCTAACCAACCTCCAGCCATCAAGATTGTTCTCATTAGTTAAAGCTGTATAATTAGCTGTCACATTAAACTTATGTTCATGTTTAATAAACCCAAGTTACTATTAAAAGAGACGTGACTCTTCTATCTAATTATTTGATTGAACTAATAAAGTCCAGGAAATGTAAAAAGGCTACAGTCTGCCTTATAGCACTGTGTGTGAGAAATCTATTAGGGGTTTGAAGATTTTGCTTGTCTGGAGCAATATTTTAAGGCTGCTGGAAGGCCATGCACACATGTAAATATAAGTCACATATCAATATAAATTAGAGTTATTTTTTCATAACGGCAGCTGTTACGAACAACAGTATTTATGCTGTTGGAAAACATTCAGAAAGGAAATAGGAATTGTGACAGTGGGTGTAATTTAATTCAAATAACACAAGCTCAGTTACTGGAAACATATCACCACAGCCAAAATCATAATGCTGAAAGAATTAGTGCCGAAAAATATTATTATTTTTTTAAGAATAACTTTACATATCACTTTTTATGAAGGCTGGGAGGGAATTACGCAGTGTCCCAGTGCAGAGAACTCTTTTAAAAAGAACAGAATAATCAAAACTCTCACTGCAATGACGTGTTCAATAACCTTCTTGTTGCAGCTGCCCACATTGGGATTGGTATCAGTGGTCAGGAGGGGATGCAGGCGGTCTTGTCCAGCGACTTCTCCTTTGCACAGTTCCGTTACCTGCAGCGCCTGCTCTTGGTCCACGGCCGATGGTCCTACATCCGCATGTGCAAGTTCCTCAAATACTTCTTCTATAAGAATTTTGCCTTCACGTTAGTGCACTTCTGGTATGGCTTCTTCTCTGGCTTCTCAGCACAGGTAGGTCCAGCTTCTCTTTTCTCATAGTCACGTCCAGCATTTTCAAGCAAAGTATCTGGAAACATTTTGAAAGGAAATAAACTAAGCCATTCCCATTCCCCCCACCTCACTGAATGGTACACAGGTCTGTCTTCTTCAGCTGTATGATTGTAAAGCAGATATCACTGCCTTCATTGTGCTGCTGGCAGAGGACAGATGCCTGAAGACATTTAGGTGTATTTTGAAGCACACAGGCACCTTGCGGGATTTTCGAAAGAGTTCAAAGTGACTATAGCCTTAAAACAAGGATAGAGATTACACATAGGCCTGTCTAGCTTGTGCAGATGTGTGTAAAACCTGTGCTTGACCTGCAAGCACCTTTGAAGCAAACAGTTTAACCCCAGATGTGCTTCAGCAGCTGATAAGAGGAGCAAATCTCCTGCAGTGAAAAAATCTGGTGTTAGTTTAACATAAACCAATCTCCAACCAACCCCAGCCCCTGGGAAGCACAGATAGTGTGCACAGATTCCGAGGGTGCAGGTTGTTGTCTGCTCCTGCCTGCCGGCTGCTTGCCATAGAGCGTGGCTCCCACCTGTGCCAGAGGGGCCCGATTCTGCTCTGGCTGCAGCTATCAGTGGATGCTGAGCAAACAGGGCTAGCATAATGTGGTCCTTCATGGTAACGAGCCATTTAGGGCTGCTGGGCTTGAGTCACCTTGTACTTTTGGTCTCGGTAGCATCTCAAACCACGATGTTCCAACATTTAATTGTGTATGCTTTTGAAGAGCTGGAAAAGGCAGCCTTTTGCTAACTCCAAGCTCTGTTTTTTGTTTCTTCAGACTGTCTATGATGAGTGGTTCATTACGTTTTACAATTTGGTATATACCTCCCTCCCAGTGCTAGGAATGAGCCTCTTCGATCAGGTACTGTTTCTATTGCTACTTGGATTTTTTTTCTAGGGGTTTTATCTCCAGGTGCTTTGAGCTGGTTCCATGAAGTTAAAGCAGCTGACTTTTTGGCTAGCTATTATGGTAGCTCCTAAAATATTTTCCTGCCAGTGGGACATGAGGGCACAAAAAACAAAGGATGCACCAGGGAGGAGATGGTATATTATCCTGATTTGGCCTGTGGATTTTGGTGCATGATAAGACTTTTAGGTTAGACTGTTGACTATAGTAAAAGCTGCCATTGCAACACTCCCCTGAAGAAGTGACATCTGATCATCTCTGTTTCTGAAGCCTACAAGTAACTTTTTAATGACCACACAGAACAATGAATGAACCAGAACTCTGAAGCCAGGTTTTCCAGGTTAAGCCTTTCTGGTGGAAGTCTTCTTGCAGTGATTTCACATATGCATTTCTACCTCATATGCTATTATTCTTCAGCAAGACATAGGAGCAATAAAGCTGCTCCTACATGCCTTTTGCAAGTTAAATAAATAAGAACTTGCTACCCCGCAATGGTTCACACTGTTCAATTCTGGACACTTACGGGATCCAGGTTAGACAGCCTTGCCAGTGTGTGGACCCAGGGGAGGTATTTGCTATCCCTTAGCTTCCAAGACACTCTCAGGAAAGCAGACCATTCAGTCAGCTTAAGATGAAGTGAACTCTTTTTTTTTTTTTTTTTTTTGGCAGCATTTGTCAGCTTTCTAAGCACAAGAAAGGTGAAATTCAACATAGAAAAGGTGTTTAGATGACCTTGGGCTTGTCAGCGCAATTGAGCGAATTGCATGCTAAGCCTTTTCTCTTGGAAATGCATGTCACAGGGTCATGGCAACCCTAAGTGGTCTTATGTGGTTGATAGGGCAGGTGCCAGCAAATCTGACCATCTCCACTCTGCTTCCAGGATGTGGATGATCGTTGGAGCATGCTGTTTCCTCAGCTATATGTGCCTGGCCAGCAAAACCTCTATTTTAACAAAATAGTGTTTGTCAAGTGCATGTTGCAAGGGATCTACAGTTCCCTCATTCTTTTCTTCATCCCCTTTGGGGCCATGTACAATACAATGAGAAGTGATGGGAAGGCCATTGCTGACTACCAGTCCTTTGCCCTGATGGTCCAGACCTGCTTACTGATTGTGGTGTCTGTACAGGTAAGCTATCCCAGGTAATGTTTTTAGGAATTAGTTGTGGGTTTTTTTATGAAGGCAGCATCTGGAGGGACACTTGCTGCTGTAGCTTGCATTCTTGCAAAAAAAAAAAAAATCTCTTGATGCCTGATTGCCCTCCTCAGTTCAACAGAAAAACAGATTTGCATGTTATGAAAGATCAGGAAAACTTTGCCTTGGAAAGTTTACAGTCATAGCAGGCAAAACAGTAAAGGCTGGGAGTAGAGAAGGACTCATTCCAGTTTTATGGGATGGGTTTGGAGCACGGGACTGTCTGCCTGCTATCAGGCAGTTATTTATAGGTTTTCTGTCATGAGGCTGTCTCTGTAGCCTGGCCCCATGCATGATGCAGATGGTAGAACTGCACTTGCTGGAAGAAATAGCAGAGACTTGGGTGGTACAAGATTCAGATGGTACTAGCAGGATGAGAGAAATTTCTTAAAAGAAAAGCCCATCAATCACATCGCCTTAGATAATGGTTTCTGCTGTCTGAGGTGTTGTAGGCTTCTTCTCCTAGCTTCCAATGCTAGATCACAGCTTGGGGTTGGGGATATAAACATGGCTCATATCCATAAGCATGGCTTAGTATCCTGTCTCCAGTACTGGCCACTGGTGAATGCTTGAGAAGAGTGCAACAACAGGGCAAATGTAGTAGTGCTTACCATGAAAGGTGTTCCAGCATCCTACGATCTATGGCTTGGTACTTCTTGAAACTTGAATGAATAACAGTCTTGAGGGCAGCCCTACAAAGAAGAGGGCAAGATCTCTACTTGAATTCAGCACAGATCTGGTAAATATTTAAAGCACTAACAATAGCTGTATTGGTCCAATTCTTTCAGATTGGCTTGGACACTTCTTACTGGACTGTCGTGAACCAGTTCTTCATCTGGGGCAGCCTTTCTGTTTACTTTGCTATCACTTTCACCATGTATAGTGATGGCATGTACCTGATCTTCACAGCCTCCTTTCCATTCATTGGTAAGCCCTGGGACAAATCTGGATTGCATTCAAAATGGGCATACTGTGGGACTTAAATCTGTTGAGTATTTCTAGTGTATATATATCTACCCTTTTCTACAAGAAATGCCAGGGTATTTCTGAGGGCTGCTGGCAATTCTTATTTTGAATCTCATCCATTCAGGTGAACATGTGCCACTTTCACTTCCTTGCATAAGAATGCACATTCACATGCAGCCATAGGAATGATCCTTTAAATAAACCTATTGAGCTGACTGGAATGTTTTCTGCTGCTCTTTTATATTCTGTTTCCAGGTGTCCAATTCTTACAGATATCTAGGAGCATTTTGCTTGCAGAAGGATGCTTGTTCTTTTGTAAATAAGTTTTTTTTATAGAACTACAACATTCAGTTAGGCTTGAGAAAAATGCCATGTGATTAAGGTGAGCCTTCAGCCAGGTTAAATAGCAAATTACCAACAAAAAAAATTCCAGTGATGAACAGGTCTTTGGAGTCACACTACAAAAGAGATTGCTGACTGCATGCAAAAGGTGAAGGATAACATAAAAATTAGTGTCTCTTGAGACTTTGATCAGGAGTAAGATGAAACCTTAGCAAAGTAATTCAGATGTTTTTAATAGCTCTGTGCATCCATAGCCAATATTGACACAGCATTGTTATGAGTCTCTACTTTTGAAATCCCAATGCCTTTTCTTTCAAGTGTCAGGCTGGTATATTAATCAATGCCTTTATTTCATAGATTCATAGATTCATAGATTCATAGATT